CAGAGACCACCTAGCTTGTCTAGAAGACAATCGTTTAGCATCTCCTATGTAAGCCAGGTTTTTGTGATCAGTAATGATCAAAAGGGGGTCCTTGGAACCCTCTAAAAGATGTCGCTCGGCAGGCGACAACTTTCTAGAGAAGTAACCACAAGGATGCAATGGAGTATCCTGGCTCTCCCTCTGGGAGAGAACTGCCCCTACCCCTGTCTCTGATGCATCAACTTCTAGTATGAAAGGTTTACTGGTGTCAGGATGTATCAATATGTCGGCAGAGGCAAACCGCTGTTTGAGAATTTCAAAGGCTTCTATAGCCTCCTTAGACCATATCGTACTGCTAACCCCCTTGCGTGTCATATTGGTGATGGGGGCTATTACTGAAGAAAATCCCTTTATAAACCTTCTGTAATAATTGGCAAAACCAATGAACCTTTGAATGGCCTTCAACCCAGTGGGTAAAGGCCATTGTAGAACTGATTCCAGCCTTTTAGGATCCATCTGAAACCCCGAGGCAGAGATATTATATCCCAAAAACTGTACTTCAGATTGGTCAAAGATGCATTTTTCTAATTTACAATAAAGTTGATTCTTTAACAAGGTCTGCAGAACTTGTCTAATGTGATCATGGTGAGTTTGAATGTCAGGAGAATAAATAAGGATATCTTTCAGATAGACCAAGACAAACGAGTAAATGTAATCCCTGAGTACATCATGAAATCTTGGAAAACCGCTGGAGCATTGCACAACCCGGATGGCATCACTAGATATTCATAGTGTCCATTTCTGGTATTAAATGCAGTCTTCCACTCGTGGTTTTCCTTGATTCTCACTAAATTGTAAGCACTTCTAAGATCAAGCTTAGTAAATACTTGGAGTCTATCAAATAATTCAGCAATAAGAGGAATGATTTTGTTCAATGCCCTGTAATCGATACATGGGCGCAACTCACCGTCCTTTTTAGATACAAAAAAGAATCCTGCCCCAGATGATTTTCGTATGTGGCCTTTATTCAATGAATCCTTAATATATTCCTCCATTACTCTACTCTCCTGAGGTGACAGAGCATAGACTGCTCCCTTAGGTGGCATAGCGCCAGGTAGTAAATTAATAGAACAGTCATAAGGTCTGTGAGGGGGTAGAGTATTCAACTGAGTTTTGCTGAATACTTCTTTACTGTCTTGGTACTGTATAGGGATTTCCGGGTTTTGAGGTATACCAGTGGGTAATCCAATAGTGCCCACTCTTTTGACAAGATTCAATATACACCTTTCATAACAATCCTTACCCCATTAGCCCAGTCAATATGAGGATTATGCTTGTTAAGCCATGGAAAGCCTAATATGATCGGACAGGAAGGGGATGCAATAACCTGAAATGTAATCTATTCCTTATGTAAGGCACCAATGGACACATTAATGGGTAAGGTTTTGTGTGTAATCAATGGTTGAGAGTGGTCTCCCATCAATAACTTCAACAGCTAAGGGTGATAGTCTCTCCTTGATAGGTATAGTATTACCTTTAACAAATTGAACGTCAATGAAGTTTCCAGCGGCACCTGAATCCATCAGGGCTTTGCATGAAAAGTTCTTATTTTCAAAGGCAATAGTAATATCAAGGAGAAACCTATTTTTATCCATTCCAGAGGACGTTTCCATTACACCTAAGACTTGTCCCCTTAAGGTGCGGTAGTTTTCCGGACGTATGGGACAATTGTTTCTCATATGTCCTTTTCTACCGCAGCATAGACATAGGCCTTCTTTTCTCCTATATTGTCTTTCTGCTTCCGACAGTCTAGTGACCCCCAACTCCATGGGTTCAGGTTCGGACTGTACAGGAAATTCAGGGACAATAGGTTTGGAGAAGTGGGGTGCTAAAGGCATATTCATGTGTCTGGTCTTGTTTCTAGTAGCTTCTCTGGTTCTCAATCTATTATCAATTTGCATGACAAAAGTGATAAATTCATTAAGTTTTTTGGGTCTTTGGCGGCAATCTCATCTAGCATAGTTTAAGATGGTCCCTTTTTAAATGCAGAGATTAACCCACTATTAGTCCAGTCTACCTCGGAAGCTAGGGTACGAAATTCTATGGCATACTCCGAGATAGACCGGTTTCCTTGTCTGATATGCATCAGGGCAGTAGAGGCGTCTTCCTCCCTGCCTAATGGTTCAAACGTAAGTTTAAATTCTGTAATACACTCCTGGTAATTGTGTGCAACACTCCTATTACTCTCCCATAATGGATTGGCCCAAGCTAAAACTTTACCTTTTAATTGATTCATCAGGTAACCAATTTTAGCTCAAGATCCCGGTGAGGCCTCAAAATGATACTCTATTTGGTTAAGGAATCCCTGGCATTCTTGGAAATTACCATCAAAATGCAGAGGAGGAGATAGAGAAATAGTTGGTACCTTGTATACTATAGGCAGAAGTACACAAGGCAGAGGTGACACAGTAGGAGCAGCCACAGGTTGCAGATGTGCTGTACGAGTAAGAAGCGTACTGAAAGCCTGGGCAAATTGATCCAAGCGGTGATCATTATCCTCCAGTCTCCTTTCGCAAGCAGCTATGTGCTTACACAATTCTACAGGATCTATGGCCCTGTCGTAATGTCAGGATTACAGAATGATCCAGCACGTAGAACTGTGTAACACAGAGGACTGATAGGTAACGTATACCGGATCTTAGAATGGCCGGACTAACGTACCAAAGAATAGTGAGGAATAGCCGAGGTCAAGGGAACCAGAAAGAGACACAACGATAAGGAAAAGCCAGGAGTCAGGGATGTCAGAAAACAGAGAAGTCAAAAACAATGCCAAAGTCAAATAACCAGAATCAATAACACGCTCTCGGACAACCACAAGGGAAACCACGACAGGGCACTGAGCAGGATGAGAACTGGGCCTAAATACCCCTCCTCTAGGTCTGATAGGCTGTAACCGGCCTTTGACCCCAAAGGCAGTTACCAGATCTCATTTGCATAATTGCTGCTCAGCATTAACCCTTCTGTGGATTTGGTTGTTGCTCGGCACAACTTTTCCTGTGTGGACAGTAAATGTCATTAACCACATTTTTGTAAGCGGATGAATACGTGACATCGTCCTCACCGGCAATCAGAACTCGGATACTGAATTGTGAACAACATCCATATCCATCCGTGCCTGTGAATAAGGTTCTTGCGCAATTTTTACCTCTAACGATCTGGTGCTTTTATTGTGGACTTATTTTTTTTTTTTTTTAAATTCTTTATTTTTCATTTTTGGTGCAACATTTAGATTGTACAGATTGTTAAAAAGTTGAGGTTCGGTACCGTTCATAGTTTGCACCGTTTTGGGTCAAGCAATAGCAATAATTTTTAAACAACAGTAACATGTGAAAACAAAACAGTATTCATTATTTAGGTGTTATGATGTTTTGTGCGTTCTTGTGTTGGGATAGGACTTTGCTTTAAATCAGTAGCTCCTGTCTAGAGTAGGTCTGGTGGTGATGGGACCCTATGTGAAGATTGAGTAGGTTTTCGAGTCGTGTAGTAGCAAGGTTGCGTCAGTTCCATGTTTCATGGTCAGACTCGCTGTGCTGTGCTGAGTATAGGTGTCTACATGCGTTAGTGGAGGTGAGCTGTTTGTCGTAGATAGCGTGTTTTGGGTTGATTACCCCTAACCAAGGGGACTGGGGGGGGGGGGTGATTTGTCAGGCGCTCTGTGGTTGGATATGTGATATGTTGGCTCTCGGTGGCGTAGAGAGGGTGGGTGTGGCAATGGCCTGTAGTGTTTGGGAATTGTTAGCGGAGGCTAAATAGTAAATAGTGTAAAACGTAAGTAGTAAATAGTATAAAACGTAAATAGTATAAAACGTAAATAAAGTCACGGAATGAAATCAAAATATGTGTGCACCATTCCTGGTGGCAAAGCCTGCGGTGTCAGTCCACTTCAGTCATGGTACAGGGTGTTGTGACCCGCTGGGTCTCGGTTCCAACTGGGCGTTGTTCCTGGGATCCTGTACTTCCAGTTGCGGGCTTTTTCGTGGTGGAAGCATCGGGTTGGGTAGTTTCAAAGCGGTTAGGAGATTAGGTGCTTCTTCCACGGAGGTTAGGACATGGGTAGTGCCTTCTTGGGATACCTCCAGAGTCCCGTTAGTGCCCCATTTGTATGCAATTCCCGCTGCTCGGAGTTGTGTGGTGAGCGGTCCATACGATTTTCGCCACATGAGGGTGGCCTTTGATAGGTCCTGGAAGAACGTCAGGGAAGAGTTCTCAAACAGCAGCGGTGTCTTGCCTTTCAGCCCAGCCATTATGTGTAGTTTATCTTGTACTGTGACACATCTGAGGATGACGTCTCTGGCCGTTGGGGTCTTTAGGTGGGGAGGGGTAGGCAAGCGGTATACCCCATCTATGATCATTTTCTTCACTGCCGTGTGTGGGAGTACTGTAGCTAGTAGGCGTCTGGTGTAATGCGGCAGCTCTTCGGCTGATATCTCTGCAGGGATGCCCCTGATTTTTATGTGTGAGCGGCGTTGTCGATCTTCCATGGTTGACATTTTGAGTGACAGGTACGTTTGTTGTTGCTGGATTTCTTTGATGGTATCTTCCATCGTGTTTATGTGAGCATGTACCATCACTACTTCTGCCTCCGTGGTGTTCACCTTTTCCGTGACCGTGCGCAGTTCGGTCCTCAGGAGGGCTGAGTCAGCTGCTAGGAGCTTATGGATGTCTGCTAGAAGAAGCTTTAAGTCACGTTTGGTGGTTGGTGCAGAGTCATCCGGGGACTCCAACAGTGGCTGTAGTGGTGCTTGTAAGTGCCCTTGTTCGTCAGGTCCGGTTTGTGGTGGATTGTGTACCCTTTCAGGCTGTATTGCCCATGGGTGTCCCTGGGAGTCAGGGCCTTGTGGAGCCCGGGTGTGCGGCTGCTGATTTTGGTGCTGCCCAGTAAGTTCTGGCCCCTGTGATCCTGTTCTGGGGGTCTGTGGGGGCTCCGGCGATTCTTGCCGTTGTTGGGGTGTGGTAGGTGCCTGGGTAGCCTCCAGCGTTTCTGCCGCTGGTTTGGGTTTGGGCTGGGTAGGCTTTTGGAGCATAGTCCCAATATCCCTGCCCCCAGCCGTACCTTGTGGCCTTTGTGATCGGCGACCCATTGCCGGCATATGAGTCAGAGCTGTGGATGGGTCCGGGGTGCAGGAGGTGTCTGTGTGCTCGGCCGGGTATCCACGCAACAGGTCCTCGAGGCCCAGGCTCGTTGGGGTGTAGTAGGCCCCGATTTTGCGTCTCCGTTTCTGCTGCCGCTGCGGTTGGAAAAAAGGCATCGGGAGACGTGGCTCGTTGTGCTGATGCCGATAGTGCGTGTGGCGAGGTTGGATGGGTCAGAGGAAGACTGATTTTAATGGATTTTGTCCGCAGGGCTTGGGAGCTGTGGAAAATGGCCTCCGCTCGTGTCGGGTAGCAAGCCCCGCCCCCTTATTGTGGACTTATTTTTAACCCTATTTTATCATTTTGAAATAAATTTGACTTTTATATTCCCAGTTGTTTTTTGACTATATATTTTTTTATATTGCTTATAGCGACCAGTTCCTGGTACTGGTTTCCACTTGATTATATTATTTCCATTTGACTTGCAGGCTGTCAGTCAGTATGACTTATGTATTTTAAGGATTTTATGCCATTTGGTAATCCTATCTTTCACTTTATATATCCAATGGAAGTATATTATCTGGCATAAGGTTATATTTGCCCTGGGATAATTCTGTTTCCTGGGTTAAGGATATCCTTGCCACACAGATGTTTTTATTCATAATTATAATTAATTATTTTTTATATATCATTTTTATTATATTTTTTATTATATTTGATATTGCACATTTAGTGTGTCATTTAAGATTAAGTCATTTCTCTAACATCGACTTGTCTTTCTTTCTTTTTATTTTTTTCTAGTTAGCTCCTGGATTTTTGCTACTATTGTTTTAGTGCAACACAACTTATATACACTGTTTTTATAGGTTTTTGGTGGATTCCTATACTTTTTCCAGTTTTAGAGCTTTATACATAAGGTCTTTTTCCCTCCTTCCCTTTTCTGTACATTTTTGTATTAGAATTTACCCAATTTTTACATGTATCAGTGTGTCTGTGCAACTTTATGTGTGTCTTTGTATCTCCATTTGTGTCAGTATATGTATCAAACACTGACACACATGCAGATATTGACATTCATACAGATGTACACACACACTGATAAGCCTGCAGATACACAGACATACACACTGACACACATACAGACACTGACACATACAGATACACACACTACACACATACCGATACACACACTACACATACACAATACAATACAAACACACAGATACACATACACAAACACATAGATACACACATACAGATACACACCTTTCACACATACATATACAGAACCTACATACACTACACAAATACAGATACACAAACTACACACACTACACACATACCAATACACACAGATATACACACACTACACACAGATGTACACACACTAACTATACACACAGACAGATACACACACATTAAACACATACAAACAGAGGCTGTTTGTATGTGTGTAATGTGTGCATAGTGTGTGTCACTGACTCCCAGCTCTCCCTGCTGATAGGAAAGGGCCCGGTCGCGCTGTTAAAGTGCCGCAGTGCACGAACGGGGCCCTTTTTGTCCATCGTCCCTACGAGCATGGGCCACCTGATGGACCTTCACACAGGTTGCCAACCCATGCGGTGCATTTGCACCGCCGCCACGGATTGGGAAATCTTGTTTTAGATGATGACAGAGACGGCAAAATGCCGCCCCTGTCAGAGTGCCGCCTGGAGCTGTGGCTCCACAGTGGTCTATGGACAAACCGGCCCTGTGTTGCCTTTTATGTGCATTCAATAATACCTTGATTCATAATAAAAACAGATTTAAATTTGTTAACCCTTAAGGTGTTACCTGTAATATTCCAGCAAGTGTGTATCTGCAGACCTGCTGACATTGGCATGTCAGATATAGGGAGATGGAATGCCAAGGAATGGGGCTGGTGGTTGGGTGTTTGTGACCCAATTAACATCAAAACAACATGCCTGCCCATGAAGTAGGGAGTGTCATCCTAGTGTTCTTATGTGCTCTCCAGAAGCTGAATGCTATAAGCCAGCATAAGAGGAGACTAGCAAATGCAAGAACCCTGGTAATGGGCAATCAGTTTGCCCCATTACCATGGATTGGTGCCAGGGTACTCCTACCATCATAACCATAACATAGGTTGGAATAAAATATATATAATATTACATGTTCGTTTATTTTTCTCTCTCCTGTACATTAAAGGATCACTATAGTGTCAGGAGAACAAATCAGTTTTCCTGACACTATAGTGCCCTGAGGGTGCTCCCACCCTCAGGGTCCCCCTCCTGTGGCGCTGAAGGGGTTAAAACCCATTCAGTTACTTACCTTATTCCAGTGCCAGGCTCCCTCTGCGCTGGGGACCTCTCCTCCCCCACTGTCGTCAGCTCCCGAGGGCCGTGTGCGCATTCAATCTGTCCATAGGAAAGCATTTCTCAATGCTTTCCTATGGACGTTCTGCGCGATGGATGCGAAATTTGCATCCAGCGTCACAGATGCGCCTCTATCGGCTGTCAGGAAGACAGCCACTAGAGGTTGGCTTAACCCCTAATGTAAACATAGCAGTTTCTCTTAAAACTGCTATGTTTACATGTGAAGGGTTACAACCTGAGGGACATTGCACCCAGACCACTTCATTGAGCTGAAGTGGTCTGGGTGACTATAGTGTCCCTTTACGAATCTTTAAAAACAAATTTAGGGACATTTTTTTAAAGATCATAAAATGTTTATTATTGCATGGAATGTTAATATAATTATAGTCGCTAAAATTCAATATCATATTTCATGTATGTTTAAAAGGTTTTTTGTCCCTTTAAATATGAATGATGTTACATGGAGAGAGAATTTTCTTCCCCATTTTCACTTTTCTCTTCTCTACCCCTTCTCTTTTTTTTCTAAAATGTAATAAAAAGTATTTGAAAAAAATGCATAGCATAGCAAAATATACCTGGATTCTAGGAAATGCATGCAGGTTCTGCAACTGCAGAGAAACACTAGACTAAAATGAATTGCTAGATCTACTACATCATGTGGGAAATAAAAGCCCTGATCCATCAGTAAGGAAAATATTTATTGTTCCAAAGTGAAAGTGCAGTTAGGACACATAGGAAGGAGAGTGAAGACCACCACTGATGCTTTTCATTAGCTACTGGCACTTCGTCCAAGAGTGAATCTTACTTATATGTTTTGGTACATTGCCCCAGTCCCTGCAGTATGACAACGGTAAACACCATAATTTTTCAGAAACGGTAATGTTTACATTTGTCAGTCAGGATGCCTCTGGTGGGTGTCGATCAAACAATTAATAAGACTATAAATAATTAAAGGGACACTATAGTCACCAAAACAACTTTAGTTATTTGAAGCAGTTTTGGTGTATAGATCATTTCCCTGCAGTGTCACTGCTCAATTCTCTGCCATTTTTTAATTAAATCACTGTATTTATGCACCCTAGTCACACCTCCCTGCATGTTACTTGCACAGCCTTCCTAAACACTTCATGTAAAGAGTCAGCTAATGTTTATACTTCCTTCATTGCAAATTCTATTTTATTTAACCCCTTAAGGACTGAGCCAAATGTACACGTTGTGATCAAAACAAAACGTAAACAAAAACTTGAATTTGCGCTATATGTCTGTTCAGGCGTAATTCACCTATTTCATATTATGTGCACCCACACTTATTATATATCATTTTATTCAGGGGAAACAGGGCTTTCATTTAACATCAAATATTTAGGTATGAAACATAATTTAATATGAATAAAATATAAAAAATGTTTGGTTCTACGTGACATTCTGTGAATGTCATAATACTGTTTGATTTTACTGCAATAAAATAAACATATTTGTATTCAGCGATGTCTCATGTGTAAAACAGTACCCCATATGTACATGTTTTATGGTGTTTTGGGAAGTTACAGGGTCAAATATTGCATGTTAGATTTTTCTGTTTTTTCACACTGAAATTCGCCAGATTGGTTACGTTGCCTTTGAGACCGTATGGTAGCCCAGGAATGAGAATTACCCCCATGATGGCATAGCATTTGCAAAAGTAGACAACCCAAGGTATTGCAAATGGGGTATGCCCAGTCTTTTTTAGTAGCCACTAGGTCACAAACACTGGACTTTTGGCTGGTCCTGCTAATTGTAATTAATACAATTACCTAATTATGTAAAATTATTACATAAATATATATGTAGAATTATATATATATATATATATATATATATATATATATATATATATATATGTGTATATAAATATATTTTTAAAAAATTATTTTTATTTATATATAGATATATATATATAGTGATATATACGTATATAGATATATATATTATTTAATTCTACATGTATTGATATCAATATATATATATTCATTTTAAAATACAGTTAGAATGAATTTACACATATATATTTTATTTATTTATTTTTTTATTTTTTAACGTATTTACAGATTTATTTATTTTATATTATATGTAAATACATATATATAATTAAAATTATATATATATTAAATCAATATCATTTTATGTGTATTTGATATTAATATATATTTATTAAAATACACGTAGACAGTGTATGTGTATATATGTGTATGTGTGTGTATGTGTGTATATATATATATATAT